TTTTTCACTCATCTACATCCCACTCAACCGGCTCTTCAGCAATTGCATCTGCTACACTTTGACCAGCAATGCCCAAGCATTGCCGCACATAGTCCATCCTATCCGGACAATGGCTCTTGAACGCATCCAGCTCTTTGTCAGGATTTGGAAATTCGGAATGCTGTCGATGAGCCATTCTGGCCTGCATGTAAAGGCTTCGCATAAAGGGCCGAGGAGAGATCTGGATGACCTTTCCATGTAGCTCTCCCAACTGCATAAGCTTCTGTGGATAAATCAACTCCCTTCCTTTTTTGCACAGGCTCAACACTATGAACACACCACTCTTGGTCAGGTTTTTTTTCTGATGTCAGCCTTCGAATACACCCACTGCAAAGGAGTACGGTGGAGATCAAGCGCTATAAGAATTTTGACCGTAATGGTGTTTGGTCCTTGCAGATTTGTTGCAGCACAGGGAAAAAGGGTCATATCTCCGTCTTGATATAGAACTTCAAAATGTTTCAGGAGAGGGAGGCCATTGCTTGGGTCTGCAATATCAATACCAAGAGCTCTAGCACCTTGAGATTGCTTCTTGTGGTAGATGTGCTCAGACACGCAGAACCCAAAATATTCCTCAGGGCATTGCTGGCAAAACCATGTGTGCGTCTCTGGGTGGGTCTGACTAAGTATAATGCACCCCCATATTCCATAATGCGCACAAACTCTTGCATGCCAGTCAGCATCCCACGAACTTGATGATGCAGGGACGAGTTCAAAGGCCTGCTGACAAAGAGGAACCAAGGTCTGCATCACCTTCTCTTGCGCTTTCGCATTCTCTTCTTCAATCTTCTGCGTCACCTTCTCTTGCGCTTTCGCATTCTCTTCTTCAATCTTCTGCTCAATCTTCTCTTGCATCTTGATGATGTCAGAAAGGCTGACCTGCCAAAACATTTAGGTTTGTCGTTCTTAAACCCTTTGCATGGTTGCCCAATCTCTGCTTAAGATTGTCTCTAAACCCTATCCCCTCCACCAAGAACACACACTGAAACCATCACTTTTTTCTGAACCTGCGCCTGTGCTGATGATAATGCATCTGGGCATTCGTCAGGATATGAAACATAGAGAGGGTCAAGGTCATCGTTCCCTCCTCTGACATGATGAACTGATAGGCTGTTGCGGACTGCCTGGCCTTCATGGGAATCTTTCTCCCTCTCAAAGAGCTTCAACATGTGAATGGGAACTTCAAGGCAGGTCTTGGTCTTTGCGATCTCCAAGATGTTGTAGGCGTTCTTTGTTTTTGCAAGCTCTTCCTCATAAATCATAATCGAACTGCCACTGCCTTTCACTTTCACCCACCAAAACGCTCTTGAACTTTCCATGGCAGCAAAGCCTGCCTTTATTGTCAAACAATTAATCGATTCTGAAAGCATTTGCGAAGTGTATGTCAAATGTATGTTGTAAATTCTGTTTTTTTGGGACCGTCCTGTTCAATTTGTGCCTTCAATGATTGAAACTTGCGCGAAACTTGCGCCACAAATTATTGCGTCAAGCACGGATCAGCACTCACACAGCTAAAAGACATTTCATCTAATCTCCAAAGCTTACCAAAATGCGGAACGACCTCCCAAGAAAAAACACAACTACTTCATTCAATACCAACAATTTCACCCAATTCCATCTCATTACCCTATTCAAAAATAACAGTTATTTAACACATTTTGTCGCCAAACGTGCTGAATTTAACCAAACATCACTGAATAATAACTTTACTATTTAATCATTTTGCCCGAGCTAGCAATAATTCTTCTCAAAGTCGTCATACTTAATATTGTAATACTGAAGTGTTGAAAGTTTCGGTTCTTTGATTAATTTCTCATTCAATTTTCCAAGATATATGTTTCTTTTGTTTTTGTAGCTTGGGTCATTTTCATCAGCAACTTTTGTAGTCTTCGGCTTCCATTCCAGCTTCTTCAGCCTTTCCTCCAAGTCTTGAAACTTCAACTGAAAATAAATAAAATTCTTCACTACTTCTTCTGATACATCATTAATATGTTTGGTGTTCTTCATTTTGTTCTTGCTTGATTCCTTTGGCAAGTCTTCTAACTTCTCCTCGTAAGACATATATATATATATTAACATAGATTTCTAAAACCAAACTTTATATTTGAGGAATTTTCCCGCGTTTAAGCTACTCTTTAAATCATTTTGTTGGAAAAGTAAAACAAAGACCTTGGACTTGTGAATGTGGTTTGACAATTTTCAACAGCGAGTTGCCATTGATTTCGATTCAATCGTCTTCAGTCTCAAGAGACAAGAAACTGCCACTTGATTCCGACATCAGCCGTCTTAACATGTCCTGTCTTAACTTGTTCACCCCTTTTGCAAGGCCCCTATTGCAGGGAACCGCTGAAAACGAACACCATGAGAGTCATCGTGTGCAGGGAACCGTTGGACCTT